GGACCAAGGATGTGTGCCAAACAGGACCCGTTTCAGGGATTGCTTGTGATCATTTGTCATCTCCATGCTGACTTAGGAATATAAGAGCTCTGCTAGGGTAGTCAAAAGAGGGTTAGCCTTGATCAGGTGGCACCCCACAGTCGTGACGATAGGTAAGTAAGTGTGTGATTCAGACTCCGATGCAGCACTCTTTCCCAGTAGGTGCAGTGACTTTGCCTGGGTGGTGGTCGAGGTGGAGAGTCTGGGAGAGGTGAGGCAGCCCAGTGTCACAGGAAGAACAGGCTTAGAGGCCAAGAGTCCTCATTGAGCCTTTGACTCATTTGGGCACATAATTTAACCACATGGGAATAACCTTTGCTCTCCCTTCCTCCCAGAATCTAGTGGAATATTCGTATGTAACCTCACAATGACTGGTATAAAGATGCTATCAGAATAGAAGTTGTGATTTACAGCTTCTGCTAAGCCTGAATTTTACAGAATGCCCTATTATCAGGAAACTGGCAAGACTTTCTGATTCGGTTGTTAAAATTACAACAGAATCAGATTCTTGATTGCACGAAGAGTCAAGATGGAACTGAAACAGAGAGCTCTCACATTGTGTGCAGGCAAAGGTCATATTTTGGGTAATTTCTTTAAAGTTTCCTTTATCTTTCCAAGTGATGGGAATAGTGGAACCCCTATGGGAGCTCGTGGGGGTCATGTTACCCCTGACTTTTCAGTGAGGGAATCACTGTGGATTACTAACAGAGCGCCAGGATTCCAACCCTTTATATCTGACACAAGGACCATTCACAAGGGACACAAAAGCCACCATCACATTTTCCCTGGAGGAGAGTGGTGTTAAAATAAGGGGTGTGCATGTGTGATGTGCTGAGGAGGCGGACAGCAGCTTGCAGATGAGCAGGTTTATTCCATAAGGACTTAATCTCATTCTGTTTTCTAATGGAACTAGTCTAAAAAGGTCCCCTCTCATTGGGTATAGACTGACTCCTGCTAAAGGGTTAACCAGAACTTGTCACCAGCGAGATGACTGTGTACAGGGCCAGCCTAGGCTGAGTGCAGCCTGCCTGTGATGGGGAACAGGCTCTGCCAGGCAGGGTTCTTTGGCTGGAGTCTGAAAGCCTGGCGCTTGTATCCTGAAGATGAATGGCCTGGCCCGGTCCCGACTAGAGACGTGCATCTCTTATCTCCACTGCTACAGCGTAGGTCCAGGACAGGGCTCCAGGCACTTGTGCATGCTTGCTGTGGCGCTGTGAGGGCTGGCAGATGGCTGGTGTGTCTGATAGAGCTAGCTTAGGGACACAGGTAGCAAAAGCATTGCAAATGCATCTAGGCAGGAGAAACTTAACCCTAAAAGTGGGCAGGAGAAAGGAAGGTAAATGGGTGTTCATATTTGATGTCAAACTATCATCATGTTATGCTATTCAGAAGTGTTTAGAGACATTTTAGTTTTTTTGGTAACTTAATCATTCAATAGAGTATCTATGAAATTCCAACTAAATGGTGTCTAAAATTTTAAGCAGCAGTCTACAGGCAAAGTGCCAACATTTCTTTTTAAAAAAATATTTATGATAACATCTAGCATTTTAAAATCAACCAGAAACTAGGCTTGATTCTGTTTAATATTTTATAAGATTGGACATCTTAAAATAAGTCAATAATGTTTATATTTTATAGCAATTCTGTGTTTCTTCAAAACCATATTCCTGCTGTGATGTTAATGGAATGACTTTATATGGCTTTAATTGTGTTGGTTTAAGTGCTAATGACCACTTTTCAAATTAAAATAGTATTTTGCTGATAGAGGTAGACACAGATATGAAATATGAAAGAATAGATAATTTTACTGATTGTAAAGTGTTTATCCCAAGGAAAAAAATGTTCTTTTTTTTAGGGCTGTGGAAAAGTAATTTTTTCAAGAGTCTAAGATAGTTTTCTGTATTTCTGGGGACTGGAACTTGTGCCTATGGAATTTTGGGAGCAGCCTAAGCTACCTTTTAGCTTGATATGTGTGCTAGAAAAACTTCATTACCATGTTTTGTGATATGTAATAAATTCAGGGTGCTGTGCTTAAGCTTCATGTCACTTCTAGTTTGGGAACATCTGTTTCCCTCACTCCCAGTTGTGGGGGACAGCCTGACCTGGCCCTCCCCAGATGACATGTGAAAAAGTAGAGTCAGTCCCTGACTCTTACGAGGTATGTTTTTCCTTGCCTGGAACAAGCAGAATATAATCACGATTTCTGACTCTGCTTCTGTGTCTGGGAAGAGCGATGCTTTCTCTCCTCCTCTAATGTCTCTTTAATAAATATGTTGTCATTATTTGTCTTTGGAAGTGGCAACTTGGGCCACCTTTCAACCTTCTCCATGATTTATGTTGCAAACAAATTCTCTGTCCCGTGTGTGTTCATTGCACTATCTTGTCGACTGAATCCTAATCTTGTGTATCACTGAAGATGTGCTGGAGACAGTTTTTGTTTCTATTATGCAATTATGTTATATGTGTATTTCAGTGAAATGTCAACCCGTCAACAGAGGATGATGTTAAAAATTATCCAAATAAATAGTTTTCTATTTCTTTTAATCAGACCTAGTCCAATCAGTTGAATGACAGTAAATAGGATTATATGTTGTTTAAACTTGGGAGTATTCCTGGCCTTTACTGCCTTGTAATATGGATTAATGTACCAAATTTACTTGGGGGTGTTGACTTGAGTGCATTATAACCTATGTTTATTTTGTGGAAGCAGCAGCAAGTGTCTCAAACCTTGTCTTTTTGTTTGGGAGCCTTAGATATGTAACAGACTTTTCTTCCCAGTTGATCCAAAATCAGAAGTGAAACCCTTGCTTAGCTCATCATCCCTCAATAATTTACCCTAGGAAGCTCTGAATGAATGAAATGCAGGCTGTTGAGTACTGCTGGGTATGACCTTTCTTCACATTCCTGCAGCTGTTCTGTGTAAGAGCTTTTACCAACATAACATTGCAGTTACCTTCTTGATGTTTCCATGAGAATGGCAGGTGGGTCCACCTTAGAACCAAATGACCTCCCAGGCTCAGATGTGCTGAATTCGGGGATCCTGAGAGAGGGAAAAAGTGTGTGTGTGTGTGTGTGTGTGTGTGTGTGAATGCATGTACGTGTATGCACAAGCATACACACATGCATCCTGAGCCTGTGATCAGAGGGACAGGAGAGCGAGAAGCAGCCTCACTGACCACCCCAAGAACTGTCTTGGTTTGACGTGGGACAGGACTGTCCCCTATAAGATCTCAGCATTCCTAGCCAGGAAGCTTAAAGCTTTCGTTCCCGGCTCTTCTTTCACCTTCAGAATTCACTAAATGGAAAGATCTGCTGCTCTGTCTTCACAGAATGGCTCAAATCAAACCCAACCTGGCACCGTTTTTAGCAGAATTGTCTCAAAGGCTGGGTGCTTTTATGTACCAGGCTGTTTTTATAAGGGCATCTCAGGAAGTTCCTGTGTGACTTTACCTTCTAAATTAACATCACCAGCACTGGCATTGGCAACTGCACAGGACCAGTTTTGAGCATCCCCAGACCAGTGAGACCTAGCCCTGATGGATCTGGCCAGACTGCAGCCACCGTCCCCTCCTCCTCCCTGAACCACTGCTGGGTATCTCTTTTACCACGTGTATGTCTCAGGGATGGTCATCATGCCTCTCTGTCCTTGCCACAGCTGCCCACATGCTACCAGATGTTGTGGAGGAAGGACAGGGAAGTGGTCTCCTCCCCTGAGGACCCACCACTTAGCCCAGTTTTCCTTTGCAAACCACCCTGAGGTTGAAGCATTTGCTGCACAGTCAGTGTCTTAGCTGTTCTCTAGGCCTTTATGGCTACGGAGCTGTAGGCAGACTGCCAGTGAGTGAGGAGGGGCTGCCTGGATACAGGACCCTAGACCCAGGGCAGAGAGGACATGCCTCCTTCAGTTGCAGGTCTTTCGGTGGAAAAGGTTAAAGTTGTCATGCAGTCCCTATTAGTCTTTAACTCAGCATACTGTTTTTCTTCAAATTGGTGGTCAAAACATAATTCAGAACTGGAGCAGACCCTTCCTCCATGGACCGTGCATAAGCATCTTGGAATGCTTCCCTAATGAAGCTGTGAACAATTGAAGGGCTTCTCCTGGGCCCTGTCCCAACATAGCAGGGACCACAGTGAGGAAGGCAGCTGTGAGGGCCCCAGGGGAGCTGCAGAGTATCTGTGAGGGGCCCGGAGGGGTCTCCCAGTGGGGTCTTCTGGTGGGTCTTGCACTGTCTGCATTCTGCAAAGGCTGATGAGCCACTTTCAGTTTGTTGTGATCTTCAAAAAGCGGACCCCTGTTGGTGAGTTCTCAGCCTGCACACAGGCTACAGGCCAGGGTATCCCGATGACCATGGTGGCCGAGTCTGTGTGCGTGTCAGTCTGCTCCGTCGTGGTCCGAGTGTGCTGGTGGTTGCAGTGTGTTGTGTCACTCACTCGTTCCATGGCTTTTTAGCAGAACCAGTGGCCTGAGGGCTGATTGGTCTGCCTGTGCCTCTGGTACCTACACCTAGGCTTCCTCATCCTAGATGCAGCCAGGGAGTCCATATCACCCTCCCTTTAGATCGGCCAGGCTGTGCTCCTTGCCCTGCTCTGGGCTTGGAGAGATTGGGCTCTTGTAGGCGAGCCTACTGAAGACTGTCATTGAGACAGGGGCATAAGCTCTTGGCCTGGCAGACCTTAGCACTAGTAACCAGGCAGTGGTCCTTGGAAGTGGGGGTATTTGCAAAGGAAGTTACTGGGTTGCAGGCCTCAGGCATCCTACCTAGGACCTTCTTGACCATCTGGATGCCTGACCATACCAGCAACCCTTAGACTGCCTTCAGTGACATCAGTCAGTGCCCTGGATTGGCTTTTGGGGAAGCCTTCCTCCCCACCGCTGAATCAGGAAGGAGCAAAGCCAGGACCCAGGCTGGCCCCAGGGCCCATGTGTGGTCTAACCTGTTCTGCCATTTCCATTGATCTAGGCGGGATTAAGGACACTGCATGACATTGGGCCAGAAATCCGGCGTGCTATATCGTGTGATTTGCAAGATGACGAGCCTGAGGAAGCAAAACGAGAAGAAGAAGATGATGTGTTCAAAGTAATTATTCCACGCCTAGCTACACACTGGCCACCTGGAAATAGCAGGGCAGGACTCCAGTTTGGGCAGTTAATGATCCACGGAAGAGTCTGGAGAATGCAGCCCAGCCCCAGGGTCTAGAGGGGCTTTCAGACCACACCCTCCCCCTCCTACAGGCCCTCCCCATGCATCAGCACCTCTTCTAGGGCCAGGCCAGCTCTTTCCCTGAGTTTACTCACCTTCCCCTCAGTGCCTGCTTCTGAGGAGCTCGGCCACAGCCACTGGCCATGTGGACGAGCATCCTGGTCCTGGGTCCTTCTGGCAGCTGCCCACACTACCCTTCTCTTTATGGGGCCAGCTCTTTGATCCACCAGCTGGCTTTCAGTCCCCCAGCCCAGAGAGCATGCCCAACCTTGGGGCCACCAGCCAGCCCAGCTGGGTATAAGTCACCCCAACTTGGAACAACCGGAAGAGCACACTCGAGTGACAGCCGACAGCTTGCTCCCCAGCTCAGGAAATCGGTAACCTTCCTCATCTCGGGGGGACCAACTGCCACACAGTCACATTCACCCTGATCATTAAGACACTCAGATTGTTCTACAGGGATCCTACGGAACTTGCCTAGAATTTGTTTTTCATGTAGAAAACGTTACCTAACATAGCTAGTCTGCATCAAATACTTGTTAAATTACCTGGTGTTGTCTCCCATTATTTTGCAGAGAAATGGTGCCCTGCTTGGAAACCATGTCAATCATGTTAATAGTGATAGGAGAGATTCCCTTCAGCAGACCAATACCACCCACCGTCCCCTGCATGTCCAAAGGCCTTCAATTCCACCTGCAAGTGATACTGAGAAACCGCTGTTTCCTCCAGCAGGAAATTCGGTGTGTCATAACCATCATAACCATAATTCCATAGGAAAGCAAGTTCCCACTTCAACAAATGCCAATCTCAATAATGCCAATATGTCCAAAGCTGCCCATGGAAAGCGGCCCAGCATTGGGAACCTTGAGCATGTGTCTGAAAATGGGCATCATTCTTCCCACAAGCATGACCGGGAGCCTCAGAGAAGGTCCAGTGTGAAAAGGTAACCTTGACGGTGTGTGTGCACTTGCTCGTGTGGTGTCCGCCCGTGTTGCGTCTAGTCCCAAGGAGCAAGGCGGGTCTGTCCTCTGTGCTCTGGGGCATGGAGGAGGTTCCCCGTAGGCGTTTGTGTCAGGATCTGTGAGTGCCCCCCAGGTCATTGCCGCCTCTGACACTCTCCACGTGATGAACCTAAAAGGATAAGGGCCACGTGCCATCCTACATCCCGTATGGGGGTGCCGAGGGGCCTTAAAACAGCAGCCACAAACCCGCCTCTCAGTTGTGCGACAGGGGTCGGTGAATTGTTTCTCTAAAGGGTCAGTGAGTCAACATTTTAGGCTTTGAGGACCATACGGTCTTGCAGCTTCTCAGCTCTGCCGCTGCAGTGTGAAATATGTAAGTGAATGGTGTGGCTGTGTCCCGGTAAAATTTCCCTTATGATCACTGAAATTTGAACTTCATATATTTACATATGATGAGATATTTTTTGTCTTGGGATTTTTTAATATTTTTTTCAATCCTTTATATGCAAACCATTTATAGCCCATGGGTCATAGAAGCCCAGGTGGCAGCCCCCATGTGGATGGTGAATCATAATTTGCTAACCCCTTCTCTAGGAGGTAGCCTGATGTTTGCATTGTAAATTTGGTTGGAAATTAACTTTTATCTTCTCCCTCCTTCTCATGTTATGCCTTTCCTGGATAGAACCCGCTATTATGAAACTTACATTAGGTATGTGCTCATTACCTGTTTTCGTGTTAAATGCTGTGATGGTATATTACCATCCGGTCTCTCTGAGTGCTAAAGAATGAGAAACACTTCTTCAGGCCAGCCTGTTAAAGGTTATCATAATTCACGGCTGGGGACTCAGAGGTCAGAGGTTGTTGCTTCTAAGCAAAGGCATCTTCAGATCCATATCTCTGTCGACTGTTGCCATCCAAGGACTGGTGTCCACACACAAGGTGCACCCCATGGGCTGGCTCCTGCAGGCCTCACGATGGCATTAGGAGCATCCAGTGTGCACTTATGGAGGCCTCAGCCTGTGTGGCTGGCAGCTGCAGCTGCTCTCTGGAGTCAGGCTTCTTGTGGATGCTTTGCAGCATGACCCAAACCTCCTGAAGGTCAGGAATGGGATCTTGTCATTTTCCCTGAAGCCCTTGAGATATGTGTAGTATATTCCACTCCACGCATATTGACCTGAGTTGAATAGTGGTCGGAATGCTCATTTTGTTGGGGGCCAGGGGAGGATAGGTCTTCCGGTGTCATGTTATCAAGTGAAGTCGGGAGCCATGTGGGCCTGAGCTGGGTGCAAGAAAGTGGAGAAGTCAGAGGAAGCACCATCCTTCCTTTGGAGAGAGGATTGACTTAACCAAGGCCTTTTCTGAGGACTGAAGCCAGCATGAGCCGGGTTTCAGGGAGACTTACCACATTCCTGGGGCAGGGCAGCCTGTGGAAACATGGTGGACATGTTCTGTGACAGTTTCCCCTGTGGCACTGTATCCAGAACTCACTTGACCTTCCTGATTTGATATAGCAGAGGTTGGTGGCCAGGAAGCTCCTTTGTTCCAGATTTTGAAGTCACACTAGGCTGGAGCTGGGGGACTAGAAGGAGAGGGAGGGATCAGAGCAGATGCCCTGGGAACCCAGGTCTTTTTCCCGGGGCCGCCGACCACTGTTTGCAGCATCGTAGGTCCATTTTTTTGTTCTGTTCTCCAAATTGCACCTATTCCTTTGGCTCCAAGGCCTCTGGACACAATGGTTTGACACCAACATTGTGCAGGGCACTGAGAGAGACCCTATCCTGGCACGCAGGCACACCACACACACAGACAGACACACATTGCCGTTGCCAGAAGCCTGAGCAGTCCAGTGCTGCCTGAGGCAGGTGCATGCTGGGAGAAGCCAGGAGCACCCAGGCAGGGTTGCTGGCCACATGCAGAGGTGCGGCTGCAGCAGGAATTATCTGCCGCCTGCCCAGGTTCTCAGATCCTCTCTCCCGACTGCAGGTCCGACTCAGGAGACGAACAGCTCCCAACTATTTGCCGGGAAGACCCAGAGATACATGGCTATTTCAGGGACCCCCGCTGCTTCGGGGAGCAGGAGTATTTCAGTAGCGAGGAGTGCTATGAGGATGACAGCTCGCCCACCTGGAGCAGGTGAGCTGCTCTGGCTCCTGTGGAGAGCAGGAGGCCACCCTGCCCTGGTGCTCTGCCTGCTCAGGAAGCCAGGGCCACCGGCAGCTGCACTGGGCTTCCCCTAAAAAAGCAAAACGGGAGGAGAAACTCCAGGCCAGAGGGAGAGTGGAGCTGGAGAAAGAGAGCCACAGAGAGGCAGGGTGGGGACTATTCTTTCAGACCTGTTGCTTATTTCCACTAGGGGCCTCTGAGGCCTTTTAGTTACAGCTTGGGAAATGGGAGCTGGGCCTGCTTCATGGCTGGGTTAGTGCCTTTCCACCACCCCCTGTCTTTGGAGAGATCAGTTTTTGCTGAATTAACACTTGGAGCTCTGGTGGCCCCAGGGCTCTGTGTGCACAGCGGCTCGGCCAGCCTGGAGCTCGGCCAGGTCCTCATGCACAGCACCTGCCTCCTGCCACTTCAAGGGGTCTCTTGGGGAGATGAAGAAACAAGGGATCACTCAGCAGAGGGGTCCGTCTGGCTTCTGTCCTGCAGAAAGAATGTTTGTAATTAGAATGAGCATTCTGCTTTAGGAGGCGTAGCAGGCGGATGAAGATCACCCTCCGCCCTCTTCTCTGAACCACACCTCACTGTGACCAAGGGTCCAGTGAAGTGGAAGTGGAATGGCATTGAGGTGGCTTCTGGCATCTGAGTCACAGCTTGACCCTCACCCTCTGCTCCCGCGGCTCTTCCCTGTGTCTCCTTCAAATGCCTGACTTCTGAAACCACTGGCTCTGAGCCAAAGGAACTTGTGTTCCCTTCTCTAGGGCTTTTGTTCACACTGTGGCGCCTGCTTGGATGCCCTCACTCCATCTGCTGGCCTCATCCCCCCTCTCAAGGGCCTGCTCTAGGGCCTTGCTTTTTGTTTCCATGACTGGAATTGAAATCCCTCTCCCACCCCCCAGAAAGAAAACCTCACGGAACCATATGAGTTCCTCTCTTCCAGCACTGGCTCTTTCCAGCTTGCATTCGATTTCTCTGTGCTCGTGGCATTTTCTAAGCCCATTGAGGGTGGGGCTCATGCTTCATGCATCTTGGTGTCCCTGGTGCCCAGTTCCTGGCAGAGGGAAGGCACTCAGGAGAGGGGCTCTCAGGGAGGAAATGAGTGGGTGAGAGACTGGCTCACAGGACATCTGCAATCCACGTTTGCCCTGGAGGTGAGGGATCAAAACTGCCAGCACATCCTTCAGGACAGGCCTCCAGTCCCCAACCTTCCTGTAATGGCCCTTGCTCTCCATCTGGAACCTTCCATGAAACTGAAGCCAGCCTTGTCCTCAGCCAGTCCTACTGTGTCCAAGGGAGGAGGTGGGGAGAGGAGCATGGATGTCAGTCTGGCAGGGTTGAGTGACAGAGCTTGTTACCTAGAACCTTACTGCCCTCTTCTCTGACCTCCAGGCAAAACTATGGCTACTACAGCAGATACCCAGGCAGAAATGTGGACTTTGAGAGGCCCCGAGGCTACCATCACCCCCAAGGATTCTTGGAGGACGATGACTCGCCCATTTGCTATGATTCACGGAGATCTCCAAGGAGACGCCTACTACCTCCCACCCCAGCATGTGAGGCCAGATTTTTTGTTTTGGGTGGAACCTCCCAGGGAACAGTGTGCCTCTCCCCCACGCCCGCTCTGGGCGCGGGTGACGGATGTGTGCTGCCAGGCGAGGACCCTTAGTCCTCAAGACCAGCCCCGGCTCAGAGAGTGTGTCTGCTTTCCTTTCTTTCTCATCCACATCCTACGTGATAGATCTCCAGCCTCTTCAGCGCCGTGCTTGACTCTCTTTGAGAAGAGAGAGGCTGTGGGGCCCTAAGATTGCACACGCACATCTGGTGAGGGGTGTTTTGCATACATAGCATTGTCTTTGAACCTGGGACCATCCTGAGAGGTAGGCAAACCACACACATGCTTTTGCTGTTGTCAGCCCTGCTCCACTCTGTGATGGGGTGACTGAGCCCCCAAAGGGGAAGAGTGGGCTCAAGTGCAGAGCCAGCTGTGCCCTAGGCCTATCTTGCAAAACCCCATGCCTCTGAGGGCCACCTGGACATTCTGGTGTCCATCTGTCCTCAGGCCCCTCCAGACCTTATCCTCCTCCCTCATCTTCCCTCCTTCTCCTCCCTCATCTTCCCTCCTCCTCCTTCTCCCTCATCTTCCCTCCTCCTCTTCCCTCCTCCTCCTCCCTCCTCCCTCATCTTCCCTCCTCCTCTCCCATCTTCCCTCCTCCTCCCCCCTCATCTTCCCTCCTCCTCCTTCATTTTCCCCCCTCCTCCTCCCTCATCTTCCTTCCTCCCCCTCCCACTCCTCTCTCTTCCCCCCTCCTCCCCTTCCTCGCCTTCCCTCCTCCTCTCTCACTTTCCCTCCTCCTCCCTCACTTTCCCTCCTCCTCCCACATCTTTGTGTCAGGTCTGTCAGTGCCCTCTGTTCACGGGGCAGGTTTTGGACTTGTTGGTCCCCTTCACTCTGGGGCCAGGAAACCCATCCCGCCTAGAGGGGCTGGAGCTGGGGCTGGCTGCTCCCACCTACTTTCCCTCTGCAGCAGTGGGTGGCAGGAGCTGGAGGATCTGGGTCATCCTGAGCGAGGAACTCCAGCTGGGGGAAGGGGTGCAGCCCTGGCCCCTTCCAGCTCCTGGCTGAACAGTTTCATTTTGGACATGTGGGCATTTTGATGATGATTAAGGACTATCCATTTCTGGAATTTCTGAGGAATTAAGCATATTTTTGAAGAGGACTCTAATCAGTAACCAAAAATAGCCGTGACACATTGGCTTCTGAGTCTGCCAACTGCATATACTATAAAGCACCGCTGGGAGGTGCCCAGGGCCCTCTGCCTCACTCCAGCTGTCACAGCCCCACTGGGGAGTGTGACCAGACCCATTTCCATGGTTAATATTTAATTCCTCAGCCCAAAACACAGGCTGCTAAATGAAGTCACTCCGTTTCCATAAATACTAGATGAAACAGATGCAGGTGAGGCCGGGTGGAGGCCCTCGCCCTTGTGAGTTCCACTGCCTTCCTCGGGCCTCGGCTTTGTCTGTTTCCTACCTGGCCAAGCCAGCAAGCACATGAATCCCACCGGCCACAGTGCCAGAGAGGAGCTGAGTGGGTAGGAGTGGCTGTGCTCGTGATTCGTGAGGTGGTTTTGCTTTGCTGCCCTGCAGCTCAGCCCTTGGACAGGGAGAACATTTCACTCTTCCCCCTGTGTTCTCAGCTGCATGGGGGTTCCCTCCTCCTCCAGAGAGTGTTGTGCAGAGCACAGGGATGGTGGGGATCCATGGAGCATTTTAGACATGGAAAAGCACCGCATGCGGGAGAGGGACTGCTGCTCTCCTTTCCCAGCCCCCCGCCCTGCCATTCGATCTGGAAACCCGTGCTCCACAGCACAGTTGGCCCCTGGGTGGTGTGTGGAGGGCAGGCTTTCTGATGAGGCAGCTGTGTGTGTTCCACGTAGGCAACTGAACAAGGAGGCCCCACAGTGCACACTGGGCCCGAGAGACCAGGACTGGCTGTCTCGTTCCTCTCTCCTGGGCAGTGCCTAGCCAAGGACTCAGCCCAGTCTCTGTGTGCAGCCCCAGTGTGCCTGGGAATCCTCTCCTGGCTAGGCCCTGGGCTTTCCAATAGAGGAATGAGGGGCCTGTGGAGTTTTGCCAGGGCTGAGAAAGGCCCTGTGACCTGAGAAAAGCAGCAGTCAAGATAGGAGCCATAAAAAATGCCTTGTAACGTAGGTGTGCTCTCGACGGAGACCCCTGCAAGGGTAGGAGGTTTCTGGGAGGAGGCTGCTGGCTGTGTCTTAGGGCCCCAGAATTTAGACTGATCTCCTGGGCCTGGTGCCCTGTGCAGCCGGGAGCCGTGGATGGTCTTGTCAGGCTGTGTGTGAGCCTCTGTCGGAAGAGCTGTTGGCAGGACAAGCGTTTTCTTAAAGCTAGGGGTGTCCTTGTTTGTCTTCAGTGCTAGAGAAGCTGAATCTTTCCCAACAACAACAAAAAAATTTGCTTATTAAGCTGATCAGTGCAGTTAGTCCCTCCCTTTAAAACAGGTGTAAACACAGGAGCCCCAGCAGGATATGTCAGCCCCTGGGGACACTTAGGGTATCTGGAAGGTGACAGTGGGAAGTGTCGTGGGGTTCTGGCAGGACTTGGGTTCTTGCACTGAAGTCCTGTGTGCGCCCCACAGTATGCAGGGCCAGGGCTTCTGACTCGGATCAGTTGCCCTAGGGGCTGCCTTCGCTCCTCCTCCTGAGAACAGGCGAACATTTAAGGGTAGTAAGTTCGTACTTTTAAAAACATCCCTCACTGGGGCTTCTGCCTTCCTCCTCTCCTCCTAAAGTTTGGAGACCTCACTACCTAATCTTTCTCTTGGACAAACCACTTGCTTCTTCCTGGGCTCCTTGCTGAGCGTCCGGGACCACCCTGACTGAGAGACAGTGTCCCGGCAGAGAACCTGCTTCACAGTTGCATGATGCCCTTTGCTTTCCCAGCCCACCGCAGATCCTCCTTCAACTTCGAGTGCCTGCGCCGGCAGAGCAGCCAGGAGGAGGTCCCTTCGTCTCCCACCTTCCCCCACCGCACGGCCCTGCCTCTGCATCTGATGCAGCAACAGGTGAGCGGCCCACCTGGTCTCGCCCCCATGCCCAGGGGCACCCCACATAGGACCCACCATCAGGTCACTCCCTTCTCTTTGGCCTTAAGCACCAGGAGGGAAGGAGAGAATCTTCACCTACAGTCTGGTTAATCTTTGTAACAGTCCTCCCAAATAGCTATGGCCATGAGCCCCATTCTGCCCAAGCTCACACAAACAAGCGACCGCTGGCATTGGATTCCGAGGAGCCAGCTGCCAACGCTGGCCTCTCTGCCCAGGTACCTCCCTGCGACCCCCACCACCTCTTCCTGGCATTGAGTACAGAGCCTGATGTGATCTGAGCTCAGGGGGTGGGGGCCACTTGGCTGACTCTGAACTGTCGGTGCAGCCCTTCATTTTCTCTAAAGTGCTTCCTTCGTTAAGTGTATGGGTCCCTCCGTGGGCAGGGCCGTGTGGGCACTATGCGGGCTTCACCTCCCCTGCCTACCAAGGGAGCAGTCTGGGGAGAACAATTTGCCCACATTGAGGGCGGCTGCACAGGCAAGAGGGTGGGGCCAGAGCCCACTCACCAGGGCTTTCCCTCGAGGATACGAATATGGCGCTTTTTCTTTCTGAAAATATGACGTCAGAGATGCCATGCATTCGTGCACGATGGGGTAGTGGGCATGGACCTGTGCTGTTTACAGACTGGGCTCCCCGTCCCTCTCTGCAGAGTGAACCCTAAGGTGCGTCTACCGTGGTGGGATTGTAAGACCGGGCTTGTACCCAGTGCTTTAGCACATGCCAAATGCCAGCTCTAGGATGCGTTATTCCAGAGCAAAGAGAACCAGCTATGTTTTCCTGTAAGTGCTAGGAAGTGGTAGTTTCCCCTGAATGTACTTCGGTATTTAAACCCAGCATGAACTGGGTGGTGTGATCACACCCACAGCTTGTTGGGCTTCCCTGATTCTTCTTCATTCTGAAGCAATTTCATGAATTAGCAACTGATAACTCCTTGGGAAAAGCCATAGGAAACGCATTATAGATTCGGGGTAAAAGAAAGCACAGTCTGCCAGAAAACCAAGTCGTCACCGCCCATTGATTCAGTGTACTTCAGTGTACCCAAGTCTTTGCCTGGACTGCCCCTGGAGAGCGCAGCGCCCGTGCTTGGTCTGTGTGCAGGAGGTTTGAGGCCCGGACCTCTGAGAACCTCTGGTCTCCCAACGCTCCTCTCTCTCCTCAGATCATGGCAGTTGCTGGCCTAGATTCAAGTAAAGCCCAGAAGTACTCACCGAGTCACTCGACCCGGTCATGGGTCACCCCTCCAGCAACCCCTCCCTACCGGGACTGGACACCGTGCTACACCCCCCTCATCCAAGTGGAGCAGTCAGAGGCCCTGGACCAGATGAACGGCAGCCTGCCGTCCCTGCACCGCAGTTCCTGGTACACAGACGAGCCCGACATCTCCTACCGGACTTTCACACCAGCCAGCCTGACCGTCCCCAGCAGCTTCCGGAACAAAAACAGCGACAAGCAGAGGAGCGCGGACAGCTTGGTGGAGGCAGTGAGTATGGCTCTTGGCCATGGTGGGCAGGAAGCACCAGGAGCAGCAGAGGTGCAACTGCAACAGCAGGAAGGGCAACAGCAGGAAGGGCTGTGGTGGGAGGGCAGCCAGGCTGTGAGCCAGACTGCCTCAATCAGACACTTCTGAGCAGCAGGAATGTACCTGAAGCATGAGTAAAAACTGGTCACCACCACTGGGTGCGGTGGCTCATTCCTGTAATCTCAGCACTTTGGGAGGCCGAGGTGGGTTGATCACCTGAGGTCAGGAGTTCAAGACCAGCCTGGCAAACTTGGTGAAACCCCATCTCCACTAAAAATACAAAAATTACCCTGACATGGTGGTGTATGCCCGTAATCCCAGCTACTTGGGAGGCTGCAGCAGAAGAATCGCTTGAACCCAGGAAGTGGAGGCTGCAGTGAGCCGAGATCACACCACTGCACTCCAACCTGGGCGATAGAGGGAGACTCCATCTCAAAAAAAAACAAAAACAAAAACAAAAAAAAACAAAACACAAAAACAAAAACTGGTCACCACCATTGATTCTCATAAATGAGCTGTGCTGGCATTCTAGTTTATACTAAATGTCTTTCCCCAGTGGGTTTCACTCTTGTTGGACCATGTGTAGTTTTTTTAGCTCCGGGACATTTTCAAAGCCATTTACATTAGTTATTATGTATGAGGTCTAGAAAACATGATTGAGCTGCATCCCCAAAGCACACGGTGCAGTTAGCACTGGAGTTTTCTGTCATCCCCCTGCCCTGCAAAGCCTTATAACACCCCCATGCCATCCATCCCTCTTTCCTGTACAGGTCCTGATATCTGAAGGCTTGGGACGCTATGCAAGGGACCCAAAATTTGTGTCAGCAACAAAACATGAAATCGCTGATGCCTGTGACCTCACCATCGACGAGATGGAGAGTGCAGCCAGCACCCTGCTTAATGGGAACGTGTGTCCCCGAGCCAACGGGGATGTGGGCCCCCTCTCACACCGGCAGGACTATGAGCTACAGGACTTTGGTCCTGGCTACAGCGACGAAGAGCCAGACCCTGGGAGGGATGAGGAGGACCTGGCGGATGAAATGATATGCATCACCACCTTGTAGCCCCCAGCGAGGGGCAGACTGGCTCTGGCCTCAGGTGGGGCGCAGGAGGGCCAGGGGAAAAGTGCCTCATAGTTAGGAAAGTTTAGGCACTAGTTGGGAGTAATATTCAATTAGACTTTTGTATAAGAGATGTCATGCCTCAAGAAAGCCATAAACCTGGTAGGAACAGGTCCCAAGTGGTTGAGCCTGGCAGAGCACCATGAGCTCGGCCCCAGCTGCAGGAAACAGCAGGCCCCACCCTCTCACAGAGGATGGGTGAGGCGGCCAGACCCGCCCTGCCCCATTGTCCAGATGGGCACTACTGTGGAGTCTGCATCTCCCATGTACCAGGGCACCAGGCCCGCCCACCTGAAGGCACGGCGGCGGGGTGCAGGGGAAAGTTAAAGGTGATGACGATCATCACACCTGTGTCATTACCTCAGCCATTGGTCTAGCATATCAGTCACTGGGCGCAACATATCCATTTTTAAACCCTTTCCCCCAAATACACTGCATCCTGGTTCCTGTTTAGCTGTTCTGAAATACAGTGCGTCAGAACCCAGCTACCAGCGATCATTGTGAGGGCAATGGGACCTTACAAATAAGGTTTTCTGTGACGTGACTCCAGTTTACACAAGAGAATCTCACTCCGATGGTCGGTTTCTGACTGTCACGCTAAAGGGCAACTGTAAACTGGAATAATAATGCACTCGCAACCAGGTCAACTTAGATACACTAGTTTGTTTAAAATTATAGATTTACTGTACATGACTTGTAATATACTATAATTTGTATTTGTAAAGAGATGGTCTATATTTTGTAATTACTGTACCGTATTTGAACTGCAGCAATATCCATGGGTCCTAATAATTGTAGTTCCCCACTGAAATGTAGAATTACTAGTATTTTTACTTGGGCTATCCAGAAGTAGAAGAAATAGAGCCAATTCTCATTTATTCCGTGAAAATCTTCTGGGGGTAAAATTTTAAGTTTGAAAGAACTTGACACTACAGAAATTTTTCTAAAATATTTTGAGTCACTATAAACCTATCTTTCCACAAGATATACCAGATGACTATTTGCAGTCTTTTCTTTGGGCAAGAGTTCCATGATTTTGATACTGTACCTTTGGATCCACCATGGGTTGCAACTGTCTTTGGTTTTGTTTGACTTGAACCACCCTCTGGTAAGTGAATTACAGAGCAGGTCCAGCCAGCTGTTCTGCCCCTTGGGTATCCATAGTTATGGTTTTCTCTGCTGCCCACCCAGGGCATTTTTTGCATCACTGGTGCAGAAATGCATAAGTGGATGGGGTACAGCTGCTCTTGTCCTCTGGGGACTGGTGGTGCTGCTTAAGAAATAAGGGGTGCTGGGGTGGGGGGGACAGAGGAAAAACATGGTGATCTATAGGATTGGAATGTCGGGGTCTGTACAAATCGTATTGTTGCCTTTTACAAAACTGCTGTACTGTGTGTTCTCTTTGAGGGCTTTTATATGCAACTGAATGAGGGCTGAAGTTTTCATTAGAATGCACTCACACTCTGACTGTATGTCCTGATGAAAACCCACTTTTGGATAATTAGAACCGTCAAGGCTTCCTTTACTGTCAACAGAATTATGCCGACTGTCAAGTTACCTTGGCAGGGATTCCCTGCAATCAAAAAGATAGGTAGCAATTTTGGTCCAAGATTTTTAATAGTATATACACAACCTGTTAATGGATTTTTTTTTTTTTTTTTTTTTTGTAAATAACACCACTTTGTTATGAAGACCTTACAAACCTCTTCTTAAGACATTCTTACTCTGATCCAGGCAAAAACACTTCAAGGTTTGTAAATGACTCTTTCCTGACATAAATCCTTTTTTATTAAAATACAAAATGTTCTTCAGAATAAAACTGTGTAATAATTTTGTTATATTTGGAAGCTCTCCTTGCACAGAGCTGGCATTTGCCAGTGAGAGCCTCCAACGGGGCAGGTACTGTGCCAGGGCAGCTCTGAAATTACGGATATTCTCTCTTATCCTCCTGGTTCCTTCAGTGCCAATGGTAACCTAATACCAGCTGCAGGGAGCACCATTTCTCCTAAAGGGCTACACCACTGTCAACATTATCTTGGACTCTGTGTCTCTCTCTGTTGGGTCTTGGTCTTACTGTGTGGCTTCACATCAGGCCAAAATCGCCAGACCAGGACCCTAAGTGTCTGGTAGAGGCGATGATCTTTTCCAAAGTCAGTACTTACAAACTGGCGTTTTTACAGGCTGCACCACTTCCTAATATCTGTCTGCTTTAAGCCTGGTTCAACCTCTCATTGAATATTAAATTTTTCTTTGTAAGAAAAATTTGAAGTTGTAGAGCATGGTTTTTTGTTTTCCTTTGTCTTAGGAAAGTTTTAAGATGAAATGTTTTTCCTTTTTGGTTCCCTCCCCACCTGAAAAATACACATTTTGTGTCCACAGGAATAATATATTTAGTTTCTTTAATCTTATGTTTTTCATAACCTCCCAAAATGTAAATGGCAGCTATGATTTCACTATCAACTGGCAGCGAGAACCTCACTAAGAACCATCTCTGCTCAGCCTATGGACTCCGATATCCACCCAGACAGCTGGATCTCACTTCACCAGGTGGCACTTTCCAGCTCTATCCTAAGAAGTTTCAGAATTAGGCAAAGGCCAGGCATGGTGGGCTGTGAGGGTCACGTTACCTCTTGGTGCAGGCTCACCTGTGTGAGATGGGACTGGGGCACCACTTGCTTTACTGCTGACACTGCTATGAAAAAACTGGAGCAGTTTCACCTTGTGTACATATCAGCATCGTGTCTTTACCAATTGCATTTCCTATGAAAGTTTTTACTGTTATGATGGGTAGTTGGCTGGTTTATAAAAACAGCTGACATCACGCACAGAGCCCCGACTCCCTGACTGGCCCACCCCAACTCAAAAACCGACTCCAGGGATGTTTTGTTGAAAAGGTTATTTCTCTAAAACAGTATTCTCCTCTCCTGGGGACTAGGAGGGCAGGAGAGAATGATCAGGAGGCCTGGGCTCTGGTTGCAACATCAGGAGTGACAGGCTGGTCTCAGGGATGTCCTGTGAGGACAGCCTGGGCCACTAAAAAGGGCCAGTAGAGATGGTATTTTATCTTTAAAAAAATCTGTATTGGATCTGATGTTAAGTTGGCTTATCAGCAGAAGCATGAAACCACTTCTGAGTGGTGGGACCCGGTTGGCTGGAGAAGAATCTGGTTTTTGTTGTTTTTTTGAGACAGTCTCACTGTCACCCAGGGTGGAGTGCAGTGGTGCAATCTCGGCTCACTGCAGCCTCCACCACTCAGGTTCAAGAGATTCTCCTGTATCAGCCTCCCAAGTAGCTGGGACTACAGGCGTGCATCACCATGCCCAACTAATTTTTGTATTTTTAGTAGAGACTGGGTTTCACCATGTTGGCGAGGCTGGTCTCGAACTCCTGGCCTCAAGTAATCCACCCGCCTCAGCCTCCCAAAGTGCTGGGATTACAGGCGTGAGCCACCATGCCCAGCCAAGAAGAATCTATTTGAATTCATGGAGATGATGTCTGCAACCTTCGCTACGAGCAGAAAAGACTAGATGTTTGGGTGCCTACAACTCCTGCTTCAGGAACTCACCATCTGCAGTTGGGCTGGCAGATGCTCATGGCTCCCACGCAGCCCACCCCGTCCCCTATTCCATCAGGAACTGCCTTCTATACTAGTGCAGCGGCTTCAACACAGGCTTCTGCAATAGGCCAGGGCTCTCAAGAGCACTGGGCACATACACAGCATTCTGTTGTGCGCTTGTGAACCGTTTTTGCAAAGCATGTTTCTCTTGTTTTTAGGTACTGCAAGCTTTTTGCCAAGGGGCCCGATTCCCTATGAGACTGAAGGGGGGGGTACCCTCTGTGCACCCCACTGTGTAGCAAGTGCCTTTCTCCCCCATGCTGGCTTCCTCAGCTGACAGCCCCTCCTCCTGGGGTGAAAGGCTCCCTTCATGGCAGGGGAACTCTCAGGTTCTGGACATATGACACTTACCATCTTTTCTTTTGAGTCTCATTCCTGTTATGGCCAAATTGTGCGACTGTGTAGAACATGACTAAGTATTTGAGAGTGAGAGAAGGGCCTGGGTGCAATCAAGCAGCACCCCCAATGGGCTCCTCTTACCACATGATGTTTTGCTTATTTTAAAATACAGCCACCAGACTGAACCCACCATGGTCTCAGAGGCTGACACACCCATGGGACACAGAGATGGTAGAACTAAGTGACTGTCACCCTGCCATATCCATGCCTGTTCCAGAGAGGAAGGGTCAGCAGAGTCATGGTTGGCCCAGGACCATCCCCTGCCCCTGAATCCACACATGCTCCAGCAGGAGAGCTGCATGAGGCCCTCCCAGCCGTGAGGCTGGCACCTGAACTCCTGCAGGCAGCCCCGAGACCCAGGTGACTGATGGCCATGGACTGCTGCTGTGGGGCAGGTGGGGACCCTCCGTAGGAGAAATAAGTCTCTTGGCCAGTTTAGAATTTTCTTTCTTGACCCTTTCTTGGAACAAAAATTTTAAAAAAAATACAGGTAAGATTAAACAAGAGCTGCTTAAGATTGTTAAAAGGAGAGGTGTGATGGGCGTCTTCCTTCTGCCTTTCTAGGTTTTCTCACAACTAAGTTGTGGCCGTCGGACCCCCTACAGTCTGCATGCCACCTCAATCCTCTCAGATCCCAGCAAAGCCTGGAATCCCCCAATTTTCTCCCATCCTTATTCTGAGCCTAGTGCAGATGCAGGTTTCCACGTAACAACGCTTTTCTTCCCAGCCCTTGACGGTGGATGTGGATGTCTGGGAAAAATCCAAGTGCATTTTATTTTCATTACCTTGTCAGAACAGTCTGGAGAAGGCATCTCAGTTCAAATGTAAGTGACTGGATCATTTTATTGAATGGTAAGAAATTTAAAGAGCAAAGAACTGTTGTAAATGCTACTTGTATTTTTTTTCCTCCAAAACTCCAATCTTGAATTTATTTTTCTTTCACACAGGGGCATTTCTACAGGAACAGGGTGCGTGGCTGTGCTTAACTGCGTTTTCCATCCTAGTCTGTTCCTGTGGACGTCTAGAGAATAAGAATTAACCATCCTTGTCCTCTGCTGGGATGGTTCAGGCTGCCAAGTCATTTCCAAAGCCCATTATGAGAGTCCTTTCTCGGGCTAGCTGCTTCAGTAGGAAACAGTGATCTGGTATGTGGGGTTTGCTCTGGGTTTCTGCATTTCTTGGTAAAAGGAAAACCTCTTAAACTGCTAAGTCATAAAACCTTTGGTAGTGAAGTCAAGTGGTATTCCTGTCACCCAGGCTGGAGTGCAGTGGTGCAATCAGGGTTCACAGGAGCCTGAACCTCCTGGACTCAAGTCATCCTCCCACCTCAGCCTCCTGAGTAGCTGGGATTACAGGTATACACCACTATGCCGAGCTAACTGTTTTCCAGAGATAAGGTCTCACTATGTTGCCCAGGCTGGTCTTGAACTCCTGAGCTCAAGTGATCTTCCCAAAGTGCTGGGATTACAGGTGGGAGCCACTGCACCTGGCCCCAGTTTAATAATAACCAGAGCCACAACCCTCTGAGAGAGACCCAGCCAAGCCCCCATTACCTGCCTTACTCTGAGAGTGAAATTAGGAAGCGAGAATGGAAAAGCCGGTTTTTCTACCAACAGGCAGCTTTCCCCTCTGAACAGGGACACTGGAGACTTATGTGCCAGCCGAGGCTGAACTAGCTACTGTGTGACTCACTGCCTCAGCTAAAGCTTGCAACTCGAGAAGGAAGATGCCCCTTCCTTGGCGAACCCTCCGCGGGTCTGGCAGGCACCCAGCCTCTGTGCATGGCCTGGGAAGGAACCACTGCCCTGGGTTAGAGAATGCCATGTGAACACAAGACAAAGGATGCGGCAGAAGTTAACCATCCTCCCCTTCTGTCCCTCCAGGAGGCAGGGAGAAGCATCTCAGCCTGAATGCTGGCCTTCCCCAAATGGCCCACAGGGAAAGGCTGGGGAAGAGAAGCTCGATTCACTGCCCAGTACTTGTCTCATTTCCCAAGAATTTATCCAATTCTCAGCCACTGCATAGGGTAACACCTGGGTCCCAGTGTGCTAGATAGTTTCAGGAAGGCGCCTCGCAGCAAGGGCTGTGCTGGCCCTCTTGGCTTACCAGGGGGCTTTCCTGGTCATCCTCCAGCAGCAACTGTCTTAGCGCTGGGTGGCCAGCGTCCTGGGCTTGTAAACAGGGACATCTTTGTCCCAGAGTACAGGCCGCCCCTTGATAATGTCAGCTGCCTTCTCTGCAATCATGATTGTGGGGGCATTCAGGTTGCCGCTGACCACGCTAGGCATGATGGAGGCATCGACAACCCTGAGGTTTTCCACCCCGAGGACCCTTGTCTGCGGATCCACCACGGCAGTGGGATCGGAGGGCTGGCCCATCTTACAGGTGCACGAGGGGTGGTAGGCGCTGTCGGCTTTTGCCCGCACAAAGGCATCTATCTCTTTATCTGACTGAACGTGGCTTCCTGGCTGGAGCTCTTTCCCTCGGAATGGAGCCAGGGCTTCCTGTGCAAAAATTTCTCTGGTGAGCTTCACACACAGACGGAAATCCTCAATATCAGTTTCTGTCGAGGAAAAGAAACAGGTGAGGACCCCTCCTTTTGCCCGTGCTGGCCTCACTGGAAGATTCACAGCATGGAGAGGCTCTGTAAGCTGTCTGAGGGGATAGTGTTTGGGGATAAAGTTCAGGGCCATGGGGGACTGAGCCAGCAGGCTGCTTGTCCCCTGGCCATAGCTGGTTAGACTGTACCGTGTAGCTCAAAGGTAGCATCCTACATGGACACAGCCTGCCCAGAGGCTCAGGTTTCAATCAGGGGTCTGACTTATCGCTAGGGCAGGGATAAGTACACACGCCCTGCCCCTGCCACAGTGTGGCTGTGAGCACACTGCAGCCATCGCTGGGCAAAACTCACCCAGTGGGTAGTGCTTGTTTTTGCTGCATGCAAGGAGGCAGGCCCAGGAATGACATTTGCTTTTAGAGGCTGCTCAGAGTGACAGCAGGAAAAATGCTCAACCTACAGACCTGGCACCTGCACGGCGCGGTCTCCCTGCACATCGCAGCAGATTGTTCTGAAAGCTGCAAATCTCCCCTACTGTCTAAACCCCAGGACTTCATTTCTTTCACGTGTCCCGGGACACTACGGGGCTGCCTATGCAAGTTTACAGCCTCAAGTGATGGGGCAGGGGATGACAGAGGGTCACTTGTGTCTTGGAAAGTGTAGTCCAAGGGTATGATTCAGGGATAAACAGGAACCCCACAAAGGCAATCGTTTGTTCAAGCCCGGAAAGACACAGGTGGGTGAATTACCTGTTGACAAGTAGTTGGGCTGGATCACAGGGTGGTCCTGGGGATTGGCACTTCTCAGTTTGAGCCAGCCCACACTTGTGCCCCGCATGGGCCCCACATGTACCTAGAAGAACACAGAGGAAGGAGTGATGGTCCCTCCATAGACATCCACAGTGAACTCCATCAACCCTGGTTTACCTGCAGGGTGGGCCTCTGCTTCCAGAATCAGTGGGGAGCAGATGCATGTTAGCATTTGTCCGCATGGTTTACCCACCTCCACAAACCACCTCAGTGAATCACTCTTTCATCCTGGCCTCATATTCCATGGCTCAAAGCTTTCAGAGGTGGTGATCCCAGGGCCAAGACAGCACCCCCCAGTCTGTCCCACTTCTGGTGCTCGGTACCTAGTCTGCATGGAACAGTCATACCCTTGGCACGCGCCACACAGACTGACACGCTGGGCAGCTGGAAGGCAGGGGACAGGCCTCTGTGTCCCCCACTCTGCAGCCATATGGCACCAGGGAGAATGCTGGCTTGGAAGATGGGAGCATCTTCCTTCCTGGTGGGAAGGAAACATCCTGAGAAGCTGAGGCTCCTCCAGCTGCTCACCTGGTAAGCCTCCTGCTGAGTGGGGACCCGCCCATGGTCAATCACTTGGGATGGCAGGAAATGGAACTGGATGTCCGGGTGGGGGACCCCAGGCTGGCTGCGGATGAACCCACCTGTTTCCAGATGGGCAGTGGTTCCCTTCCCTGAGAAGCAGAAGAGGATGAGGCAGAAGAGCCAGTCAGGGCGTGGCAGGTGGGCCGGCTGCTCCTGGTTTCCTTCCTTTCTCCTGGCTGCTGCTCTTCCTTTTCCTGGACTCCATTCTAGTGCCTGGACCCAAGTCCTGTCCACATCTGTTCACCTCCCACAGGGGGCTCACCCAGCACCACACCATGAAATGTCAGCTATTTGCCAAAAGGATGGCATCCGCTCCACTCTCTACCTGGGCCAATTCTGCCACTGCCCACGCCACCTGCCTTACCGGCTCTTCCCACCGCCTAGCACAGCACACAGCACATATCAGGTGTGTGAGAAATACAGGCTGAGTGGATGAGCAGGATTTCAAAGTACCAGGCGCAGCTAGAAATCAAATGGAAAAGGCTGTAAAATGAATGCTGATTCTGCAGTCTAGCCCCAAAGTCTCCTCTCTCCACCTTTCTCCTGGCTCCTTGGACCTCACCTGCTGTCCAGCACAAGGCCATCCCTGCCCATCTGTAAGGAAGAGCTGCCCCTAAGCCCTGAGGAGTCTCACCTCCAGCAAGCCCTGGGCAAAGTTCCTTGGCATGTGCTATTGCTTCTGGTCCTCGTTTCAACCTGTCAGGTTGCAACTGTGCCTCCCCATTTTGAAGATGAAAAACTGAGGATCAGGGCTGAGGTAAATGGCATAGTTCAGCATCAAACCCAGCGCCCAGTGGCCAGAACCCTTGTTCAGCTCCTCAGGAAGGAGGTCTCAATGCTCAGACAGTCTCCTCCCAGGTTACTGATGAGCGTGCTCACCTGTGAATTTCCAGAGCCACTCCAGACCAATGCAGACTTTCTGCAGGGGCTTCTGTGCTGAATGGAGGGTGATAGGGCGGGTGCATGCCTGCTGAATGTAGATCTCCAGGTGGTCTTGCAGGTTCTGGCCAACCCCTGACACGGGAAGGAGTGGTTAAGAAAATGGCTACCGGCCGGGCGCAGTGGCTCAAGCCTGTAATCCCAGCACTTTGGGAGGCTGAGACGGGCGGATTACGAGGTCAGGAGATCGAGACCATCCTGGCTAACACAGTGAAACCCCATCTCTACTAAAAAATACAAAAAATAGCCGGGCGAAGTGGCAGGTGCCTATAGTCCCTGCGACTCAGGAGGCTGAGGCAGGAGAATGGCGCAAACCCAGGAGGCGGAGATTGCAGTGAGCTGAGATCCGGCCACTGCACTCCAGCCTGGGCGACAGCACGAGACTCCGTCTCAAAAAAAAAAAAAAAAAAGAAAAGAAAATGGCTACCAAGGGGGCTCAGCTGCTTCTCAATATCCCCCTGGTTTTGAAAAATTCTTTCCTATTCACTTATCTTCTGGACCAGCTCCTGCTCAGTCCCCTGGTCTCGGCTTAAAGACCGCCTCCAAGAGACACCACTCTTGCACTCCTGGCCAAGTCTGGCCTGCCTCAGATGCTGCCAAGGCCACCTGTCCTTGTCACTCACTCCCAGGACAGCCTCTGGGTGCCCCTTGTCAGCCCTGCTCAGCAGCAGCCCTCTATGTGAGGGCAGGGCCCACGCCTTCAGCAGGCGCTGCTTGGCGAGCGGTCACTGGATGGTGATGGCCAGAGGGGCAGACAGCAGCCCCACCCTCACGACAGCGTGGAAGCAGCCCTGTCGTGCCACGCAGCCCTTGCATGAATTCTTCCAAGCCTATTGGGACACTGGGAAGGTCACCGTCATGAAGCAGCACTTCCCCGGGCCCCTCATGATGAAGCCTAAATGCACAAAGGCCCAGCTCTCCCAGAGTGGGGTTATCAAGGAGGGCAAGAGACACAGCCCGGCCCTCAAGAGCATCAGAGACAGTCTATAAAATAAAGTTTACGTCTTAACATGAAGAGCAGGCTCTGGAGCATGGAGCTGACCTCATTCACGCTCAGGGCAGCCAGCGAGTGCTGTGGATGGAAGGATGAGACCTGGACCCCTCTTGCCATAGAGTTGCCCTGGGGACACGCCCATGCCCGACCCAACGGGGCTTCATGGGCGGATACTCGCTGCTGCAGGCTGCCCTTCTCCAAGTGAAATAGGACGGCCATGGGAGGGAGAAGGAAAACAATGCAAGAATCGGGCCCCAGGGCTGACAATGGCCAGTGAGGCCTGGGAAACCTTCAGGCTCACGGGGACGATGTGACAATTCCAAGGATCACTGACTGCCACCACCTCCCCACTCCATGCTAATAAGAAAGCCTCTGGGAAGCAGTAAGAAAGGGGGCTCACCAGGTAGGTGGCACACCACAGGAATGCCCAGTTTCTTGAGGTCATCAGCATTCCCGATGCCAGAGAGCATGAGCAGCTGTGGAGAGTTGATGGCACCTCCACTCAGAATCACCTCCTTGCTGGCGTAAGCCTGGAAGAGGTCCGGCCAGGTCACTCCCTAAAAAGCCAGCTGTTCCCCTGACTCACAGACCAGTGCCCCTGCTCTAGCCAGCACCATGAGAACATGGCCTTGGGATGTGGAATCCATGTGGCATACCCAACAGGCCCCAGAGCCAAGGAGAGGAAGCTCACTGAGTCACTACTTGAAAGCAACCAGCAGGTAACTACAGCTAGACAGTAGTGTTGGCCGTAGAAACAGGAGGGGAAGGCTTACATGAGATAAAGCAGGCATTCAAGTGAGTGGTTAAAGAGAGCAAGCAGTGAAGCTGCAAAACGATCTGACCCCCTGCCCACACCATGGAAATACAGAGTACGATCACATTTGTGGGTTCTAAAACCTCTAGTGTAAACCTATAGCTTTCTGTGAGGTCAGTGCCCTGAAATGGTGTAGAAGGTACTGGGGGACAGCTCTGAATTAGGCATGGCACACGGGCACTGACACCACAGGCCCTTTCTAGGTGGCAGGACTGGGGGCTTCCTCACCTCCACCAGCCCACTGCCATCAGCTACTCGCCCCTCCCCCATGCCAATCACAGGGATGAGCACGTGGGGCTGGAGGTGTGAGGGCGTGACTCCTGCCCACTCTGAGCTGGACCACCAGGGTCACTGCCCATCCCCTTCTGCCAGGACCCCAGCTGCAGTCCACTCACCCTGTGGCTCTGGCCATTCTTGACATATTCCACACCCACTGCACGGGTGCCCTCAAACAGCACCCTGCTCACAAGTGTCTGGGCCTCGGCCTTGAGGTTGGTACGGCTCAGTGCTGGGTGCAGGTAGGCACAGGCTGCACTCCACCGTTTGCCTGCAGGATGGAGTGAGGTGGTCAGGCACGGCTCTGCCCTCCCCTGGCACCTGGGCCGGAGGAAGGAGCTGGAGAAAGTGGATACGCCCAGCTCTGACTGCAAGTCACACCTTCAAAGTAAAGCTGAGACGTAAAGACCCTGCCCTACTGAGTCCACATCTGCCTCGGGTCCCCTGGACGCAGGTGGAAAAGTACCCTTCACCCTCAAACGGGGACACAGAGACCAGGAGCACGGCCAGAGGGGTGAGAGCCTTCAAGAGGCAAGCAGGAGCTCCGGGTTAGCCCTGGCTTGCCTCTGTCCTATTGTGAGCAAGGCCCTTCACCATGCTGTGCCTCGGTTTCCCCATATGCAAGTCCCTAGAGGACTTTAGGCTCTCTGTCCAGAGAGCTGATTCTCTGTTATCCACACCAACACGGGCCAGAGGCGCAGAGAACGCCTAGGGTCACCATCCTGGGTCACTCTCAAGACTCTGGGTTGTACTCTTGGGGGGTATACTAAGCCAGATCTCTTCCCGCTCGTGCCAGCCTCAGTCTGCCCATGCCTCCTGACCATGCTGGAGCCAGGAGCCCGGAGCCATGGGCTGAGATGGGTGGGGCTGGGGTAGGGGGTAGTGCTTTTAAAGAAAAGGCAGGCGGATGGGAAGGGAGGCCGCTACCTTCATGGATGGTCATGTCCATCCAGCCGAAGCCCTCCTGCTGGAAGCCATTCATGTCCTCGGTGAGCGGGTAGCCGGCCTGCTGTGCGGCCTCCAGGAATGCGCAGTGCAACGGGTGGTTGGTCTTGCCCCGGGACACCCGCAGCGGGCCATCGGCGCCCCGGTACCGGCTGGCGCCCAGCTCGTGGCCCTGCGCCTTGCGGAAGTAGGGCAGGCAGTGCGCATAGTCCCAGCCACCGGCGCCCTGGCGCTGCCAGCGCTCGTAGTCCTCGGCGTGCCCACGAACGTAGACCATGGCGTTGAGGGATGAGGAGCCGCCCCAGACGCGGCCGCGTGGCCAGTACAGCACGCGGCCGTCCAGGCCCTGCTGCGCCTCTGTGTGGTAGCACCAGTTGTACCTGTTGTCGCACAGGTTGGCCACCAGGGCCGCGGGCATGTGGATCCTCCACAAGAGCCGCTTGCTCCCCGCGCGGACGTCCTTGGGCCCCGCCTCCAGCAGCAGCACGTGCTCAGCAGGGTCCTCTGTGAGCCTCCCGGCCAGCACGCAGCCCGCCGAGCCCGCGCCCACCACCACGTAGCTGTACTCGTCCCGGCTCTCGGAGCCCGCGCTGGCCAGGGCCCGGGCACCCAGGGGTTGCTGCTGCCCCAGGGCTCCCCGTGCCAGGGCTCCAGGCCGGCCCAGGCCTCGCAGGAGACACCACATGCTTCTATCTAGCCCAAGTCCTTGGATCCACGGAGGGGAATGAGATGACTCACTTCTCCCTGAAACAGGAAAAGGGGCTTTAAAAATCTTAACTCCGCACGCACGTATGGCAAAGTTGCAGGGTATGCTCACCAACGGCCTGCAGGGGCAGGGTGCAGCAGGCCCAGCCCGAGGTGGCTGCTCAAAGGAACTAGGAGGAGGAAGTGAGGGGGACACAGAAATTTCAGAACTGTTTTGTGTGTACTAGGATGGACAGGCACAGGGCAGGGGGTGGGGCAGCAGAAAGGCCCCTCCCCCAACTGAGGGGTAAAATGCTTCCCTGTGCCCTGTGTATGAACCTGGAGACTGGGCTGGAGTTCGCCCGCTGGAAGGCAGGGGAGCGAAGGGCTTTCCAAGGGAGAAAGAAAACAGAGTACTTGTACTCATCCCTTCAAGACAGCTGGCTCAGCGCCTACCATGTGCTAGGCACTGTTCCCTGCCCCACCCAGTTCCTGTAGCAATACACAGAAAGACATCTGCTCTCAAAACAGATGGTTTAGGGCCTGGGAGAAGGACAAGACTTAAATAACTGAAGGAAGATCAGCAAGAGAGGCACAAGACTGTAAAGCTCAAAGCCTTTGACCCAAGGGGCCATGGAGTGCACTAGAGGGGTTTTAAGCAGGGTCAGGATCAGAGCTACACTCTTCAAAGATCACTCTGTAGAATGCTAGCGTTTAACAAAAATGGCAACAGCTTTGAAAGGGCCCTTTCCTAACAACGTTCAAATCAATCCCAGCATAGTGCACAGAGGTAGGAAAAAAAAAAAAAACAGGATATGTCATGAAAACCTCCACTGAAAAAAACACCTGACAACACCGCACCCATGAGGCTCAGACCAACAAGGCCTGCCCAAGACTGAGTCTGAAACAAAAAGAAACCCTGATAAATCTCACCACCCCTTCCACAAGCCCTGCATCAAGTAACAGCAGCCTACTACTGGAGTGCAGAGGCTTGTTCTCCTCCTCCTCCCCACTGTTGCACAGGCATAGGAGACAGAGGTGGCGGGGCTTCCTGAATGGTATGTCTGAGGCTGCTGGAACACTGAGAAGAACTCTTCAGTGCTCCAGGCCCCACACCACTCCCCACCAGACTGACAACACTCCACACTAACAACCCAACAGAATGAAAGACAGGTCCTTTGCTAGGCATACTGTTTACCTCAGTCTCCACTATCCCGTTACACACAAGGTCTAGCATTCAATAAAAAATTAGGATACATCCCCAAAAGCAAGGCAAATAAATGACTCCTTATCAAGAGATAAAGTAGTCAACAGAAACAGACCAAGGAGTAACGCACCCAGATGTTAGAACCCATCAAACAAAGACTTCAATCAAGGTGAACATTATAAAAGATATAATTGAAAAGGTGGACAACATATTGAACAGATAGGAAATTTCAGACAAGCATTGAAAACTATAGAAAAAAACATAAATGCAAGAAAAAACAATGTTAGAGATGAACAATTTTTAATTGAATGTAGCACAGAAAAGAATCTGGAAATATAAAGAGGGGAAGAGAGAAAAAACAACTCTGGAACCATATCAAACTAAAGTATGGATAACTGGAGTCTGAGAGGGAAATAGTGGGGAAGGAGGGCTGGGGGAAAGAAGAACAGACAGAGAACAAAGAAGGAGAAATATTTGAAGAGGTAATTGCTGAGACTTTCCCAAAAGCAGTGCAAGACAAAACACCATGGATTCAAGAAGATTAGAGCATCCCAAGCAGGATTAGTACAAACAAAAACACATCTAAATACATCATAGTTAAGCTGCTGAAACTTCGAAATAAAGAGAAAATCATCAACATAGCCAGACAAAAAACATATGCAGAGGAATAAATATAACAATGACAGCAAAATTCTCAGAAAACATGCAATCCAGAAGATAATGGAGTGACAACTTTAAATACTAAAAGGAAAAAAAAAACCCTCTAGTCCTAGTTTACTGAAATTGAAAAGTTATCTATACCCAGGAATACATCTTTAAAAATAAAGTAGACGATAATTTAGATGAAATGGACTAATTCCTTGAAAGATACAAGCTACCAAAACTCACACAAGAAGAAAGACATTCCAAATAAGCCAATATCTATTAAAGAAATTGAATCAACAATTGATAACCTTCCAAAACAGCACCAAGCTTGACTAAGCTCACTGGTGATTTCTATCAACCATTTAAGGAAGAAATTATACCAGTACTATACAGTCTCTTCTAGAAGATAGAAACACAAGGATTACTTTCTGACTCATTCTGTGAGGCCAGCATCACCCTCATAACAAAACCAGACAAAGACATTACAATTAAAAAACACTACAAACCAATATCATTCATGAGCATAGATTAAAACACTCAACAAAAATATTAAAAATTGAATCAAAGTATGTATAGAAAGAATTATATACCACAACCAAGTGGGCTTTATCTCAGGTATGCAAGACTGGTTCAACATTAAAAAATAATCAACAGGCTGAAAAAGAAAACTCACATGATCATATTAACAGATGCAGAAAAAGCTTTTGACAAAATTTAACATCCATTAATGATAGAAACTCTCAGTAAACCAAGAGTAGAAGGAAACTTCCTCAACTTGGTAAAGAATATCTACAAAAACCCTACAACTAACATCATATCTGATAGTAAAAAAAATCAAAGCTTTCCCACTAACCAGGAATGAGGCAAGGATGTCCTTTTGAACCACTCCTTTTTGGTATTTTACTGGAAGTCCTATCTAATGCCGTAATACAAGAAAAGGAATAAAAGGTACACAGATTGGGAAGGAAGAAATAAAACTGTCTTTGTTTGCTAATGATATGATTGCTTATGTAGAAAATCTAAAAGAATCAACAAAAATTCCTGGAACTAATAAGCAATTATAACAAGGTTTCAGGATACAAGGTTAATATATAAAAGCCAATGGCTTTCCTACATACCAGCAACAAATAAGTGAAATTTGAAATTAAAAACACAATACCATTTAAATTAGCACCCCAGGCTGGGCACAGTGGATCATATATCCCCAACACTTCGGGAGGCTAAGGTGAGAGGATCACTTGAGGCCAGGAGTTTGAGACCAGCCCGAGCAACATAGCAAGACCCCATCTGATATGGTTTGGATTTGTCTCCCTGCCCAAATCTCTTGTCAAATTGTAATCACCAATGTTGGAGGAGATGACTGGATTATAGGGGCAGACTTCCCTCTTGCAGTTCTCATGATAGTGAATTCTCACAAGATCTGGTTGTTTACAAGTGTGTGGCACCTCCCCTTCCTCTCTCTCTTCCTACTGCTACAGCCACGTAAGACATGCCTGCTTCCCCTTCGCCTTCTGCCATGATTGTAAGTTTCCCGAGGCCTCCCCAGCCATGTTTCCTGTAAAGCCTGTGGAACCATGAGCCAATTAAACCTCTTTTCTTATAAATTACTTAGACTCAGGTAGTTCCTTATAGCAATGAGAGAACACAATATCCCATTTCTACAAAAATAAATAACTAATAAATAAATAAATTGGGTGTGGTGGTGCATACCTGTAGTCCTAGCTTGAGGCTGCAGAGAGCTATGATTGAGCCACTGCACTCCAGCCCTCCAGCTTGGACTACTGCACCTCCACCTAAGTGACAGCAAGACCCTGTCCCTAAATAAATATAAGCATCGCAAAGAAATACTTAGGTATAAATCTAACAAAATATATACAAGATCTATATGAGGAAAACTATGAAACCCCGATGAAATTTAAAAACTAAATAAATTGAGAGATATTTCATGTTTGCAAACTGGAAGGCTCAATATTGTCAAGATGTCAGTTCTTCTCAACTTCATCTACAAATTCAATGCAGTCCCAGTCAAAACCACAGCAAGTTATTTTGTAGATATTAACAAACTGGTTCAAAATATATATGGAGAGGCAAAAGACCCAGAATGGCCAACACAATACTGAAAGTGAAAAAGCAAAGTTGGAGGACTGACACTACTCAACTTCAAGATTTACTATAAAGTTACAGTTATCAAAACAGTGTCATATTGCTGAATAGATCAATGGAACAGAACAGAGGGCCCAGAAATAGACCCATATAAATATAGCCAACTGATCTTTGACAAATCAGCAAAGGCAGCACAATAGAACAAGAAAAGTCTTCTCAACGAAGGGAGCTGGAATAACTAGACGTACACACACACACACACAGCAAATATAGACAAAGACCTTACACCCTGCACAAAAATTAACTCAAAATGGATCACAGACCTAAATGTAAAATATAAAACTATAAAATTCCTTGAAGATAGTAAAGGAGAAATAACATCTAGATGACCTTGGGTTTGATGATGACTTTTTGTATTATAACACCAAAGGCACAGCCCATGAAAGAATTGATAAGCTAGACTTCAATCAAATGTGAGTTTTCTACTTTGCTAAAGACACTATCAAGAGAATTAAAAGACAAGTCACAGATTAGGAGTAAATCTTTGCAAAAGATATATCTTATAAAGGACTACTATGTAAATACACAAATAAATATATTCTTAAAACTCAATAACAGATAATCTGATTAAAGTATGGCTCAAAGACCTTAACAGGCACCCCACTAAAGAAGAGAGACAGATGGCAAAGATGCATATGAGAAGATCCTCCATATCATATGTCATCAGGAAAATGCAAATTAAAACAACAGTGAGACACTACTATACACATATTAGAATGGTCAAAATCCAGACACTGACAACATCAAATGCTAACAAGGACGTGAAGCAACAGGAACTTTCATTCATGGCTGGTGGGAATGCTAAATGGTACAGTCGCTTTGAAAGACAGTTTGGTGATTTCTTGTAAAAATCAACACACTCTTACCATATGATCTAGCAATTGTGCTCCTTGGTATTTACCCAAAGGAAGTGAACACTATGTCCAAACAAAAACCAGGAAATAAATATTTACAGCAGTTTTATTCATAAATGCCCAAAGCTGGAAGCAACCAAGATATCCTTCAGTAGGTGAACGGATAAATAAACTGGTACATCCAGACAATG